AGGAGAAGGCAAACAAGAAAAAAGTGATCCGTAACGAGCGTAAGAATATCAAGACGCATGTGAAGGTACCACATTATAAACACTCTTTGATTGAATGATGATTCACCTAATGTTAATACAAATATCTAAATGCAATAGTTATAAAATCAATAATTCAGGTTGATTGTGCAGCTTTCTTTGCTTTAACTTGTTCAGCCAAATACTAAATATTAAAAAAAAAGATTAATATGAGAAGACATCAATGAAACAGGTTTGGTTTATATTACATTTGTTCGCTAACCTTGACTCTCAGTTTGCATTCTTTCTTCGTTTTATTTTCAACTGCCTCTGCAATTTTATCCCATCTATCACCCTCTCCTTTCCAAGATGGTGGATATGCTTGCAATGCACGTTCTAATTGTGCTTGTTGGGCTGCTGCCCATACATTGGTTGTTGCTACGGGTCCATTCGCTGCAGGTGCAGGAGCAGTGGACGTTGTTGGCGATGCATCATAATTGATTGTTGCTTCTCGCATAGATGGACTCTCAGTAATGCGTGTGTCCGCATGCTTTTTTTGATGTTGCAACTTGCGTACATCTTCATCCAATGCAGTTGCACCTTAAAAATTCAACAATTAATACTTGCGTACATCAATAAATAGTTATCTATAAAATAGAATAAGAGAAATACCTTTTTGGACTTCTTTAGACTTTTTAATTAGTTCTTCATTCGTTCTAGGTGGCAATCCTGAATGATCAGCCACATATTCACTGATCCTCTCCCATCTTATAGATATTATAGTTGGTTAGTACCTATTATTTATGTTATCATATGTATAAAGTCTTACCTGTTTAAGCTTCCTCCAGGGAATTTATTGGCTGCCTTAATTAATAATGATATTTCTTCTACACTCCACTGTCGCTCTTTCGGGACCTCTTCTATAACTCTATGCTCTTCAACATCTGTAACCTTTTGGACTTGATTTTCAGTTACATTCTGATTTTCAATTACATCTATTGGGTCTGAAAATAACAAGTATATTATCAGATAAATTGTGCATGTATGATCGTAAGACTAGTACTGGGTTTACCTGACTTAAAATATTTAAAAGAATCCACTGATAAAACCCCCGAACTCACAAGCATTGAAGCCTCTTTTACCAAAATTTGTTTTGCACCATGTCTGTCTTGAGTAGAGTCCAATTGTTTTCTGACATTTTGAAGATCTTCCAAGCTCAATTTTTCAAATAAAAAATCCAATTCTGACAACTGAATATCAATAACATCTAGAGGCGGTGATTCATTTGGTGGATAAAAGTAGTTATGTGTCTGGTTTTTTTTTTAAAAAAAAAACCAATGATATATAATGATATATATATATATATTATCAAACAAATGAATTCTTTTCTCATTTCATAGTTAATAATGATAATAATGTGGTACCTTCACATGCGTCTTGATATTCTTACGCTCGTTACGGATCACTTTTTTCTTGTTTGCCTTCTCCT